TTATTTTTAATTTTAATTTTATTTTATTTTTGCTTTTGGGTCACACCTGGCGATGCTCAGGGGTTACTCCTGGCTCTGCACTCAGGAATTACTCCTGGCGGTGCTCAGGGGACCATATGGGATGCTGGAATCGAACCTGGGTCGGCTGTGTGCAAGGCAAATGCCCTACTTGCTGTACTATTGCTCTGGCCACTGTTTCATTTTTTTTTTTGGGGGGGGGGGGTCACACCCAGCAGTGCACAGGGTTTACTCCTGGCTCTGCACTCAGGAATTACTCCTGGCGGTGCTCAGGGGACCATATGGGATGCTGGGAATCGAACCTGGGTGGGCTGCATTCGAGGCAAACGCCCTACCCACTGTGCTATCACTCCAGCCCCCCCCCCCTCGTTTATCTTTATCCTTGGGGGAGTTGGGTCTCACCTGACAGTGGTTGGGGTTACTCCTGGCAGTACTCAGGGGATAGTATGTGGTGCCAGAGGTCAAACCAGAGTGCCTGTATTCGAGGCAGGGGCCTTAACCTTTGTTTCATTTGTCTGCCCCTTTGGTAAACTTTAATAGAGATGTAAGTGAAATTGGCAGAGCTGGCATGATGAACTTAATTCTCACATAAAAGTCTGTGATTACTGGGCTTGGCTGTGACTGAGGCAGCTCCCAAGTAAGTGATTTTTAAAAGGGTTGATTGTAATTTTTCTCTCACATAGACGTGTTCGGTGGTGGGAACCCCTTGGTGCCGCCCATCCTGTTCCAAGTTTCTTAGGGTGTTGGTCCCGAGTGCTGGCCCAGGTGACTCAGGCCTCCCGACGGCCAGCGAGCGGGAAGGGGAAGGTGCCCGGCCCAGATCATTCCAGGCAGTATTGTCAACCATGGTGCCTAAAGCACCAAAAAGTAAGAATAATAATAATTAAAAAAAAAAAACATGCTTATCGGAGAGGCAGGCTAGAGGGTGGGAAGGGAGGGGGACACAAGCCAAGAGTTTGATGCTGGAACAGTGTATGCTGGAAACTCAGTCATGAGTAATTTTGTAAGTCACGGTGCCTCAATTGAAAAAAACAAAACAAAAAAAAACAACAAAACCAACCTGGAGGCCCCAGATTTACCTGTTTTTGTAGAAGCAAGAACTCTGGGGCATTAGTCACAGAAGCGTTTCCTTTTCTACCACAGCACCAGTGGGAAAGAGCAATGTTAGCATAGATACATTCCCAGCGGTTGCTTGACGTTTAGTCTGTATTTGTGACGTGTTCTGCAGTAGTCTGCAGAAGACTGCAGAGTGGCAGGGATGCTTCAGTGACCCTCTGATATGTTAGGTGTTTAGTAAAAAAGTGACCAGGGGCCAGGGAGATCGCCCCCAGGATTGGGGTGTGGGCTTGGCATGCGGCAGCCCTGGGTTAGGTCACCATGTTGCTGGGAACGACCTCCAAATTCTACTGGGCCTGGCCCAGGACAACAAGACAAAAGAACAAGTGACCAGAACCCCCCAGGCCAGAGGAGCAGCTTTCCCTCTCAACCCCCCCTGTGGCTGCCCGTTCCTGCCTGGGTTGTGTTTTGCTGACTTTTTGCCTTCAGCTTAACTGGACTCCCAGTTTAAATTTAGCCTACTTTGAAGTCATCCATCAAAACCCAGCTTTGGGATTTTCCCAGTACTTTAAAGAATGCATAATTATGAAAACAAGGAAGGTCTCTCCCTCTGGTGGTGAGTATGCAGGTTTCGAGAGCGAGGTGAGGTGCTTCTTCCCTCATTCCCTGGGCCTGAAGGGTAATTCTTGTTACACTTTCCAGAAATCCATCGCCACTGCGGGCCTGGGTGTCAAAGAGTCAGAAATGGGCTTTTAACTGATAGGGGGACCTGCTAGTTGCTGGTTCATTAATGTATCCCTACCGTAAAACATAATCATCCAAGTGTGTGTGTGTGTGTGTGTGTGTGTGTGTGTGTTGCTGGTTCATTAATGTATCCCTACTGTAAAACAATCATCCAAGGGTGTGTGTGTATATGTGTGTGTGCACGCGCATGCAAGTGCGCACTTGTGTGTGCTTGTGCGCACTTGCGCGTGTGGGTGTGTGTGCCCCCAGCCCTACAAGGTGTGTGTGTGTGTATATGTGTGCGCCCCCAGCCTGCCAGGATGTGTATGTGTGTGTGTCTGTGTCCCCAGCCCTCCAGGGTGTGTGTGTGTGTGTGTGTGTGTGTATGTGTGTGTGCCCCCTGTCCGCCAGGGTATGTGTGTGTGTGTGTGTGTGTGTGTGCATGCGTGCGTGCGCTTGTGTGTGTGCGTGTGTGTGCCCCCAGCCCTCCAGGGTGTGTGTGTGTGTGTGTGTGTGTGTGTGTGTGTGTGTGTGTTTCCCCCAGCCCGCTGGTAGTGATCCCTGAGCGCAGAGCCAGAAATAAACCCCGAGACTTGAAAACTACTGGGTGTGGCCCCCCAGCTAAAGAACCAATATTGTATGTTTGGGGGGCGCAGTGTCGTTCCTCATAACTAACCCTCCACCACAGTGAGCTGACCCTCTCCCGACCTTCCAAGCCCTCTCCCCTCCTCCCCCCAACCCTTGCTGTCCAGCTGTTCAGAATTCAGAGGTGGGTTGGGCTGGGTTTTGGCTGTAAAAAATCTTTTCAAGCTGCTCTCAAGGACCTGTTGGGCAGGTTGCTTGATTCACTTAAGCCGGAGTTTCCTTATTCGAATGGGGCCAGTACTGTTTGCCTCGGGGTTATGTTCTGAGGGTTAACTAGAAGAATGCATGTGAAAAAGGCTTAGCCCTGGGAGGGCCCCTGTGGGGTTAGGTTATTTCTAGTTTTGGAGTATTTTATTATTCCAGCCATACCTGGAAGTGCTCAGGGCTTAGTCCTGGTCCTGCACTCAGGAATCGTGTCTGCCAGTGTTCAGGGAACCATACGGGGTGCTGGGGATCGAACCTGGGTTGGTTAAGTATTTCATATATTAAAATATTAAATTCAGTTTTAATACTTTAGCACTACACTGTAGCACTGTCCCCCCGTTGTTCATCATTTTGCTCAAGCGGGCACCAGTAATGTCTCCATCGTGAGACTTGTTACTGTGTTTGGCATATCAACTACGCCACTGGGAGCTTGCCAGGCTCTGCCGTGTAGGTGGGATACTCTCGTTAGCTTGCCGGGCTCTCTGAGAGGGACGGAGGAATCGAACCCGGGTTGGCCACGTGCAAGGCAAATTCCCTACCCGCTGTGCTATTGCTCCAGCCACTACACTAAAGTATTAAAATACCTAAACATTTTAAGTATTTTGAACATTTTCTGCATATGTATGTTTTGGTGGAAATGGCTTTTTTTTTTTTTGGGTTCCACCCAGCGACGCTCAGGGGTCACTCCTGGCTCTGCACTCAGGAATTACTCCTGGCGGTGCTCGGGGGACCATATGGGATGCTGGGAATCCAACCCGGGTCGGCCGCGTGCCAGGCAAACGCCCTACCCGCTGTACTATTGCTCCAGCCCCGGAAATGGCTTTTATTCCCCTTGGGCTAACACCTAGGAGTGGAGGCCTGGGTATCTAAACTCAGGATGTCTAGTTATAACAGCCTGCCACATAGATTGCCCCCTTAGTTGTACTTGCATCAGAACACGTGGGAGTTCCGTTGCCTCACATTCTTTCCAGTAGGTGAGTCTGTCAGCTTTAAAAAGTTTAGCCTTTCTGGTGGGTAGGTAGTGGTATCTCATCATTTCGCTTGATATTTCTTTGCTGGTGGTATGGAAATATCTTTATATAAGTTTGCCATTTGGATATGCAGATGTATGTAAATGAAGTGCTATTTTGGATTTTGTTTTTCCTTTGGCATCACATGTGGCTGTGCTTTGGGCTTCTGACTTGGTGGTAAGGGATCACTCCTGGTGGACTAAGGGGACCAAATGGGCTGCTGGGGACCAAATCTGGGTTGGTTGCATCCAGGGCAGGATACTTACTCTCTGTACTATCGCTCCGGAATCCCCTGTTACTTTTTTTAATTTATTTTGATTTGGGGGTCACTCCTGATGATGCCGAGAGGTTACTTCCAGCATTAGTTGTTGCTCCCAGTGGTGTTTGGGGGACCATGTGGTGACGGGGATCAAACTAGGACCTTTTCTATACATACTGTATACCCCAGCCCGATACGCTATGTCCCTGGCCCTGCTGTTCTCTTTTTTTGTTTTGTTTTGTTTCTGGGCCACACCTGGTGGTGTTCAGGACTTCCTCCTAGCTCTGCACTCAGGAATCACTCCTGGCGGTGCTCAGGTGTACTACAGGGGATGCCTGGAATCGAACCTGGCATCTTACCGGCTGTTGTATTTTCCCGGCCCCCTACTGTTTTTATTTTTGTTGTGACAGGATTGAATTGAGAGCTTCTCTCATTCTAGGCAAATGCCCTACTGTTAAGTCTCAGTCTTGGCCCCTATCTTTATTTTATTTTTGTTGTTTTTGGGGCCACATCGCATCCACAAGTAAGCTTGGGGATTACTTCTGGCTTTGTGTTTAGGGATCACTCCTGGTGGGACTCGGGACAGCATGGGTTCCTGGGATTGAACCTCGGTCAGCTGAGTGCAAGGCAAGCACCCTACCCGCTGTACTATCTCTCCAGCCCCTGTATAATGATTCTTGCTGTGAGTCCACTGATACAGACATTGTGAAGAGTTTCTCCCAGCTCGTAACTTGCATTTTACTCTCTGGTGTCTTTTGTTGGATAAAAGTGATTTTTTTTATTTATTTTGCTTTTTGGGTCACACCCGGCAATGCACAGGGGTTACTCCTGGCTCTGCACTCAGGAATTACTCCTGGCGGTGCTCGGGGGACCATATGGGATGCTGGGAATCAAACCCGGGTCGGCCACGTGTAAGGCAAACGCCCTACCCACTGTGCTATCGCTCCAGCCCCGGATAAAAGTGATTTTAATGGAGTCTAATTTGTTATTTTTCTTGTATGGTTTGTATTCTTGTGTTTTAAGAAGTTCTGTCTTCCCATGTTCAAGTCTACATATTGAAAAGTGTTTTTTCTCCAATAACTTAGGTGATGCGATGGAGAGTGGGAAGCCTGGCCCGGTGCAGGTGGTTTTGGTTCACAAGGACCAGCATTCCTTTGAGCTAGAAGAGAAAGCCCTGGCCAGCATCCTCCTGCAGGACCATATCCGGGACCTGGACGTGGTGGTGGTGTCGGTGGCCGGGGCCTTCCGGAAGGGCAAATCCTTCTTTCTGGACTTTATGCTCCGATACTTATATTCCCAGGTGAGGTTGAATTATTTATTTCTAATTAGAAGGTGGACTTTAGTTTTTGGGTTGTACCCAATCATGCTTAGGGGTTACTCCTGGCTCTGCACTCCGGAATCACTCTTGGCGGTGTTCAGGGGACCCTATGGATGCCGGGGATTGGGGGGATTGTACAGGGTTGATTGTGTACAAGGCAAGTATAATATCTGCTATCTTATCTGTCCAGCCCCCCAAAATGGGCTTTTTCTTTGTGTGGAGGAACACAGTAAGTTCCTAGGTTAACCATGCTGTATAAAATAACTTGATGTTTTAATTTAATTTTATTATTTATATTTTGGTTTTGGGCCACACCCAGTGATGCTCAGGGGTTACTCCTGGCTCTGCATTCAGGAAGTACTCCAGATGGCTTTGGGGACCATATGGGATATAGGGATTCAGTCCAACTTGGCCAGGTGTAAGGGAAGCACCCTCCACTCTGTACTACTTCTCTGGCCCTGATGATGGTTAATTATTTTTTATTTTTTATTTTTTTTGCTTTTTTGGGTCACGGGGCTGGAGCGATAGCATAGCGGTAGGGTGTTCGCCTTACAAGCGGCCAACATGGCCGACCCGAGGTCGATTCCTCCGCCCCTCTCGGAGAGCCCGGCAAGCTACCGAGAGTATTCGATATGCCAGACACAGTAACAACAAAGTCTCCAATGGAGACGTTACTGGGCCCGCTCGAGTAAATCGACGATCAACGGGAGGGCCTTTACCTTTACCTTTACCTTTTTTTGGGTCACACCCAATAATGCTCAGGGGTTACTCCTGGCTCTGCACTCAGGAATTACTCCTGGCGGTGCTCGGGGGACCATATGGGATGCTGGGAATCAACCCAGGTCGACCACATGCAAGGCAAATGCCCTACCTGCTGTGCTATCGCTCCAGCCCCTGATGTTTATATTTTATTTATTTGGTTTCTTTTTGGCCCACACCCGGCAGCACTCAGGGCTAACTCCTGGCTCTGTGCTCAGGGATCACTCCTGGGGGACTGAGAAGACCATATGGGGTGTTGGGGATTGAAACCCGGTCAGTTGTGTTCAAGGCCAAGGCCCTGCCTGCTGTAATATCTCTGGCCCTGATGTTTAAATTTTTTTTTCATTTTTTTATAATTTTATTTATTGAATCACTGTGAGAGCAGTTACAAAGCTTTCAGGTCTAAGTCTCGGTCATACAATGAAACACCCGTACCTTCACCAGTGCCCATTCTCCACCCCCAACAACCCCAGTGTACCCCCACCCCACACCCTCCCCCTACCTGTGGGGCATACAATTTCCATATTACTCTCTCTCTCTACTTTGATCACATTCAATATTTTGACACCAGACCCACCATTATTACTTGAGATTTTACCCCAACACTCAGATCTGCTGAAAAGTCAACAGTAGACTATTTGTTTTCTATTGCTGGTTATGAATAACACATGATGTTGCGTGGCTGCAGTAGTGGCCGCGGGATTTTGAAATTCTGAAATTTTAACACTTATATCTGGAGGGATTTCTGCCAAAACCTGCTGGGTTCCGAGATTTGCTCCTGAGTCTCTGGGATCATGGCCGTTAAGCAGCTTGATCAGGAGCCAGAAAGGCCGTTCATGGGCGATGACTTGGGGTCTCGTTGGGGTGGGGAGGACAGGACCGGCTCCACCACCATCCTGTGAGGCCCAAAATGTCTCGTCACTGTGGGCCCAAGCCTGACTGTCCAATGCCTCTGCGGGATGACAGCCACCGAGCCGCCAGGGGGAAGCAGGAGGAGGGACAACACCCTTTCCCCCCTGGAGTGGCCCGGCGACAGTAACATACTGGGTGGTCCGGACGCATTTCTGCCAAAAGCCACTGGGTTTCAAGATCTGTTTCTGAGTCTCTGGGATCATGGCCGTTAAGCAGCTTGATTAGGAGCCAGAGAGGCCGTTTGTGGGCAATGACTTGGGGTCTCGTTGGGGTGGGGAGGTCAGGACCGGCTCCACCCCCATCCCATGAGGCCCTGCGTGTCTCGTCACTGTGGGCCCAAACCTGACTGTCCAGTGGTCTCTGGAGGATAGCGGTCACGAGGCCGCCAGGGGGAACAGGCCAAGGCACAAAACCTGTTCCCACCTGGGTTGGCCCAGCACCGGTAACCTACTGCAGGGACCGGACGCGTTTCTGCCAAAAGCCGCTGGGTTTCCAGATTTGTTTGAGTCTCTGGGATCATGGCCATTAAGCAATTCAATCAGGAACCAGAGAGGCCATGCCTCCAATTATATAGCTGAGCCTGAGGTGGTTTGTGGGTGTGTTTCCCACATACCTAACTTTTGGCCGTTTACTTTCTTGGTAAACTTTGCCCCAAGTTTTTGGGGTCTGGCCAGAGTCACAGCAGCAATTTTGGGGTATCTGGAAGTCTGAAGGCGCCTCACCATCAGTTTGCTGATGCACTCGCCTCACAGGTACTGATTGACCTGCTGGCGGCACCATACCCCCCTGATGTTTAAATTTTTAAAAGTGAGAAATTTCATATTTCCCCTATAGAAGGAAGGTGGCCATTCCAATTGGCTGGGTGACCCCGAGGAGCCATTGACAGGATTTTCATGGCGAGGAGGCTCCGACCCGGAGACCACTGGGATTCAGATCTGGAGCGAAGTTTTCACTGTGGAGAAGCCAGATGGGAAGAAGGTAAGAAAAAAAAAAAGATTTACCAGTTAATGAAAACAGCAAGAAAAACAAGAGCTTGAATGTTACTCTGACATTCGAGAAGAATTTTAATCAAAAGATGAAAGTGAGTTGCTTAGAAATCATACTCGAGGGGCTGGGAAGATGCTTAAAGGGTTGAGCACGTGCTTCTGTCTAGTGGCCCCAGGCTCCCCACTGTCACCTGGTCCCCCAGCTTTGCTCTTGGGCATAACCCTCCCTTGCAAAATGCACATCAGCTGAACAAAGGAGCTGTCCTCCCGTTGTTCATCGATTTGCTCGAGCAGGCCCAGTAACGTCTCCATTGGAGACTTTGTTGTTACTGTGTCTGGCATATTGAATACGTCACGGGGAGCTTGCCAGGTTCTGCCGTGCGGGAGAGATACTCTCGGTAGCTTGCCGGGCTCTCCGAGAGGGGCGGAAGAATCGAACCTGGCTCGGCCAGGTTGGCTGCGTGCAAGGCAGACGCCCTACCGCTGTGCTATCGCTCCAGCTGAACAAACAACTTTTCAAATAGTTACATAGGAGGGGGCCAGGGGAATTGTACAGTTGGTAGAGAGCTTACCTTGAATGGCACCCACCTGGGTTCAGTCCTTGGCATCCTGAGCACTGCCGGGTGTGGCTCAAAACCAGGCAGACCGACAAGCAAAACCTTCAGATAGTAATATAGGACATTGCACCAAAAAAAACAGCGGTCAAAGGTCCTGTTCTGCTTACCATTTTCTCTTTCCTTTTTCTTTTTTTCTGATTTCCGGTCAAACCTGGCGGTGCTCTGGGGTTACTCCTGGCTCCGAGCTCAGGGATCACTCCTGGTAGTGCTTGGAGGATCATCCAAGGTGCTGGGGATTTGACTGGGGTCAACTGCTTGCAAGGCAAAAGCCTCACCCCCTGTACTAGCTTTCTTGACACTAATCGTTCTGTGAGGATACAGTGTGATATACAGAATTAGCTGGCTGTTACCCCTAAGCTGTCTGTGAGCTGCAGGCTAGTGTTAAACTTTGAGAGTCAGTAGTATATATGGATTGTGTGTGTGTGTGTGTGTAACTTTGGGCCTTACCTGGTGGTGCTCAGGGCTTACTCCTGGCAAGGTTAAAGCATGGCACCTTGTGGTGGGGGTGTAGCTCTTGGCCAAGCTCATACCTTATTTATGAGTTCCTGAGGTTAGTTCTTAGCACCCTATGACCTTAAACCATCTACGATCTTAAGCCAATCCCCCCCCCAAGAATGAACCCCATAAAGCATGAGTCCTAAATGATTTTACTTTTGATGGAACGTATAAACAGGTGCTTAACCTTGTTTAAATATTCCTTGTATGTTTATATCTACATCTGTACATTGCCCCCTTCTCACAATAATAATATTGTGTGTTGTCTTTTTTTTTCTTTTTTAAATGTTGTGTACTTTCTTCTGTCTTAGGTTGCAGTTATTCTTATGGATACTCAGGGGGCGTTTGACAGCCAGTCCACGGTGAAAGATTGCGCCACAATCTTCGCTCTGAGCACTATGACCAGCTCTGTTCAGGCAAGGCCGCTTGATCGGGAGAATGTCCAGAGGAGAGAATGTATTTTTTTTTTTTTGCTTTTTGGGTCACACCCGGTGATGCACAGGGGTTACTCCTGGCTCATGCAATCAGGAATACTCCTAGCAGTGCTCGGGGACCAAATGGGATGCTGGGAATTGAACCCGGGTCAGCCGCGTGCAGGGCAAATGCCCTAACTGTTTTGCTATCACTCCAGCTCCGAAAATGTATTTTTTTTAAATTTTAAATTTGTTTTTTGCTTTTTTGAATTACACCCGGTGATGCTCAGAGGTTATTCCTGGCTCTGCACTCAGGAGTTATTCCTGGTTGTGCTCGGGGGGCTATATGGGATGCCGGGAATTGAACCCGGGTTGGCCTCGTGCAAGGCAAGCACCCTCCCAGATGTACTATCGCTCTGGCTCCAGAGGAGAGAATGTAAAGGGAGACATTTCATTTCAGTTACTATTCTCTCATCTGCACCAGTGGGGATATGTGCATATTCATTTTAGAATCAGTGTAAGTTAAACGCTTAAAAGTTTAAAAAAAGAGCCTAGTCTGATTTTCTACTTTGGCCATAAATATACGTATAAATGTTCCAAGGAATGTTTGAAAAGTGCACATTGAAATTACATCAGTTACACCATATAGGAAATACAGATTTGGTAGGAAACCCGTGTCTTAAAGGAAAAATTTTGTGATTTTTTTTTTCTCACCGTAAATGTATAGTTTTCCAGAAAGACAGAAGTTTAAACATTCCTCACATTCTTATATGCAAACTTGTAACTGTGCCAAGCTTTTGTTCATGAGATCTGTTTGAAGAGTGCTAAAGGGATATCAATCTGGATGTTTGTTTTTCTAGGTTTATAATCTGTCCCAGAACATTCAAGAAGATGATCTTCAACAGCTACAGGTATATATTCTTCATGAGAATTTTTTTTTTTCTTGCTATTTGGGTCACACCCAGCAATGCACAAGGGTTACTCCAGGCTCTGCACTCAGGAATTACTCCTGATGGTGCTCAGGGGACCATATGGGATGCTGGGAATTGAACCTGGGTCAGCTGTGTGAAAGACAAACGCCCTGTCCATTATGCTATCGCTCCAGCCCCCTTCATGAGAATTTTAACCTGTCACAAAATGTTGTTTAAAAGCTTTTAGGTTTAAAAAAAATTTACAACTGAAAAGTTTTATCAAAAGGTTGAAATTTGCAGGGATGTTTTTGGTTTATATGAACCCCACACTCGCTCCTGCTGGCTTAGAGCTAGGGGGTCAGGGAAAGTGGGGGAAAGTGGGCGGGTCAGTCCTGCAGACACAGCTGAGGGGAAGAGCTAGGAGTGGGGGACGCCACAGAGAAGACCTTGGGGTGCTGGGCAGGGTCAGGACCCTGCGATTGGGGGATACAGCAGGAGGAAGCGAGGGATGGTGTCCAGAGTGAGAAAGCCCCAGGGCAGCTGAGCCATCGTGGGACCTGCTGGCCCTTTCCTCTGGGTGAGGAACTGCGTGCAGTTCTGCGCCTGCAGCGCGAATCGGCGCTATTGGTCTTTGTCCTCAGTCTCCAGAGCAGCAGTTCTCACTCTTGCTCCTGTCCAGCACTCTTCCATGGCGGTTCCGGAGTTGAATGCATTTCTGGCACACGCTCCTAATTCCACTTTTCCCACCGACATTCAAGCTAGCACATCAGAGTGCCAGACTGCGACTCGCGTTACTTGGAATTACAGTGCATTAGTTCCGATTTGTCTCGCTCCTGGGCTTTTCCTGTTGGGGGGGGGGATTCCTAAACTCTAGCTTTTTTTTTCTTTTTATGTCACACCCAGTGATGCTCAGGGGTTATTCCTGGCTCTGCACTCAGGAATTACTCCTGGCGGTGCTTGGGGGACCATATGGAATGCTGGGGACCCAATCCAGGTCAGCCGTGTGCAAGGCAAACGCCCTACCCGCTGTGCTATCGCTCCGGCCCCAGCTCTGGCTTTTAATCTTGTGACGAGCTCTCTTGCTTCAACATTTATGGTTCTCCAGGACCCACTGTTTGGTGGAGAGCGTTTGCCCTGTGAAGTGATTCTGTCATAGCACAGCAGGTGAGGCATTTGCTTTTCTTGTGGTCTACCTGGGTTCCATCTCTGGCCCCCCAGATGGTCCTGACAGGAGTGATTCTGAGTGCACAGCAGGAGTAAGCCCTAAGCACTGCCGAGTGTTGTCCAAACCGCCCCCCCACCCAAAAAAAAGGTTTTGTTCAAAAATGAAACTTAGGGGCTGGAGTGATAACACAGTCCTTAGGCATTTGCTTTGCACACCAGTGACCTGGGTTCGATGCCAGCACCCCATATGGTCATCTGAGCATAGCCAGGAGTAACCCCTGAGCACAGAACCAGTAGGAAGTCTTGAGGACAGCTGGGTATGCCCCCTCCCCCACCCCCCGCAAAAAAGAAAAATCAGCTAGATGGGTTAAGTTTTTTTTTTTCTTTTTGGGTCACACCCAGCGATGCACAGGGGTGACTCCTGGCTCTGCACTCAGGAATTACTCCTGGCTGTGCATCGGGAGGGGGACCATATGGGATGCTGGGAATCGAACCCGGGTCAGGCCGCATGCAAGGCAAACGCCCTACCTGCTGTGCTATCACTCCAGCCCCAGGGTTAAGTATTTTGATATAAAGTAAGAAATCATAGTTGACTTAAAAAAAATGGCAACAGATTCGATTCAGTTTATAAAGTACCAAATTAAACCTCTGAACATAAACGTCTTGAACAGGGGAGAGGTGCCCAGGTGTTATAGCCCCCGCCTGGGGGTTGGGAAAGGTTTTGGTGGAGAAACTCTTCACTGTGTGCTGCCTCCCCGAATGCCCCCCCCCGCCCCCACCAGCAATCTTATCATAGACCTGGTTGTGAAAGTCTGACTGTCCAGGGCTGAGGCCCAACAAAGGAGGCCACCAGACTTCGCCCATCTAGGCTAGAGGGTGGGTAGGGGGTGCTGGGGATGAAATCCCAACCTAGCTCTTGAGTTTGTTTAATTTTTTGGGTTTGGGGGCCACCTCTGGCAGTGCCCAGCACTTCCTCTTGGCTTAGTCAGGGATCACAGAGCCGCATGGGGCTTTTTCTAGGAGGCTCTTTGGGACCACCCTTGGTGGTACTCAGGTCTGGCTCCTGGTTCTACACTTGGGGATAATTCCCTATGGGTCTCAGGGAACTGTATGTGGTGTTAGGGATCACACCCAGGTCCACCGTGTGTGAGGCACGTGCCTTTCCCACTGTACTATTCTCCAACCCCAAGAACAGCTTAAATTATTATTATTATTATTATTATTTTTTGCTTTTAGGGTCACACCTGGCGATGCACAGGGGTTACTCCTGGCGATGCACTCAGGAATTACCCCTGGTGGTGCTCAGGCGACCATATGGGATGCTGGGAATCGAACCCGGGTTGGCCGCATGCAAGGCAAACACCCTACCCACTGTGCTATTGCTCCAGCCCCAAGAACAGCTTAAATTTTATCTTAGTGTTAGAGCATGGAAATACTCATCTTATAAAACAGAAGGAGTTGCTTTGTTGCCTTCCCATCAGTGTTGATGTTGAAGTTCGTCCCACACTGTATGCTTCCTGATCCTCTGTGTGCAGCCTTTTTGTTTTACCAGTCACTGTCACTGTCCTCCCGTTGTTCATTGATTTTCTCAAGCGGGCCCAGTAATATTGTGCGACTTGTTGTTACTGTGTTTGGCATATCGAACACATCACGGGTAGCTTGCCAGGCTTTGGCGTGTGGGTGAGATACTTTCGGTAGCTTGCCGGGCTCTCCGAGAGGGGTTTTACTAGTAATATTATTATATGTCATGCCCAGTGATGCTGGGGGTTACTCCTGACAGTGCTCAGGGACCTTATGGGGCCTGGGGGCCGAACCAGGGTTGTTGATTGCAAGGAAGCCCCTACCTGCTGTACTATGTCTCTGGACAACCTTATTGTTTTTTGTTTTGTTTTCTTACTGGGTCACACTCGGCATTGCCTAGGAGTTACTCCTGGCTTTGCACTCAGGAATTATTCCTGGCGGTGCTCAGGGGACTATGTGGGATTCTGGGGATTGAACCCGGGTCGGCCACGTGCAAGGCAAACGCCCTACCTGCTGTACTATCGCCCTAGCTGCATGGACTACCTTTTTGATTCTCTCTGAAGCTTTTCAGATCTTATCTTGGTATGAACTTATATAGTGATGTATCTTAGTGCGGGAGTTTTCTTCTTTCTGTGTAAACTCCCAATTCTCAGAATAAGGACTGTTGCAAGCAAGAAGTAGTAGCAGCATCCTGGTGAAAAGCCATATCCAGCAAACACAAAAAAGAGCTCTAGGAAATTGATACCACAATGGAAAACTCAACAAAAAGCTTTGGAAAGAAATGGATGAAAATTTGCTTGACAGGTTGAAGAAAGAGACAGTGGGAATCAGGAACAGGGGAAGGAGTGAAACAGAAAGAGGTGAAAGAAGGAGAGAGATGGGAAGTACAGAAAAAAAGAGAATCAATTCAGGAAAGGCTTAATGTGAAAGACAACAGAATAAAATAGGAAAGAAATTACAAATGGCATAACCTAAGGTGCTTTAGAATCAAAGGACTTGTCTTTTCTTTGTTGCTAGAGATTTTTTGGGGTGGGGGGGAAGGGGGGCCCCACTCAGCAATCTCAGGCTACTCCTGATTCTGTGCTCAGGGTCACCCATGCTAGTGCTTGGGGACCAAGAGGGTTTTTCCCAGGGGTCTGATGGTCCGTGCGTCTCTGTAGTTAAGAGTGCCCCTGTGGGCTGGGCGCATGCTTTACATATGAGATGCCCAGGTTGGACCCCTGGCAGCACGTGGTCCCCTGTGCGTTGCTATTGGTCAGCCTTTGAGCAGCCACCAGGTGTGGCCCCAAAACGGGGAGGTGGGGCACGGTGATCCATTGGGGCCAGGAAAATAGCTCAGCAGCTCAGAACACTGCCTTGCAAATAGACATACAGTGTCAAGAGTTTAGTCAGTGGTCCCGTCCCAGGAGGCAGTGTTGCTTGTGGGCCCATCCGCTCAGCTGTCTGTGGTCCCGGGCACCACAAACTGTTCTTGAGGACACCTGGGCGATGCTTGGCGGCCGGTACCCAGTACCCATGGCCAGCCAGGCGTGGGACCCGGGGCCGGCACCGCCATATCGACAGCAGCAGAGGGAAGGGAGGAGGAAATCCAGATAATAAACAGTAAAGAATTGCTTGTAGAGGGAGTCACCTAAAATGGGATGGGAAGCTTTGCTAGGATGACCTGATGGTTTGCAGTTGGGAATGGGCTTAAAGGCACAGGTAGGAATCATGTCGGGATGAAAAGGCAAGATTGGCTGTTTGGTGGCCGAGCACACGCTCTGCATTGTCAGAGTGTCGTTCTCGGCTGCGCTTTCCCAGAGAATTCTTTCCCCTGGATCCCGCTGACTCTAGCCTGGGACTCGCGCCTTGGGCCACAGTGCAGACTTTGATCTAGGGTCGTTCTCTTCCACACAGGTGGGGGGCCTAGCCTCAGTGCAGTTTCTGTAGCTTTTTGGTTTATTCTCTCTAAATCCAGTCCTCTGCGGGGGTAAAAAGCAGATCAGGGCCAGGGATGGGTGAGGAGGTCTGGGTGTTTGCACACTGATACCCCTACCCTTGCCTGCCCTTAGCCTGACTGGCCTCTCTCATGTCTCAGGTTCTCAGGGCCTGTTTCATTTTGTTTTCTGGGCCCTATCTGGCTGTGCTCAGAGCTTACTCGTGGGTCTGCACTCAGGGATCATTCCTGATGATGCTCGGGGTTCTATATGCGATGCCGGGGATTGGACTCAGGTTGGCCGTGTGCAAGGCAAGTGCCCTCCCTACTGTGCTATCTCTCTGGCCCCCTTTCCCTGCCCTTTCTACATTTCTTGGCAGAGCAGAGAAAGTCAAAACCCCAGGCAGTTCTCATTTGTCAGTTTTTCTTTTAGAGGGTTTTTTTTTTTTCTCTTTTGACAAATCTCTCGTATCATACTGTTTCTCATCCTTTTTCCTGTGAATTGGTGAATGGTGTTATATTTATGTTCATTATTTGTTTGTTTGGGGGCTACACCAGTGGTGCTCAGAGGTTACTCCTGGCTCTGTACTCATTCCGAGCGCAGTAGTGCTTAGGGAACTGTATGTGGTGCTGGGGGTCTAACCCGGGTCGGCTGCGTGCAAGGCAAGCGCCCTACCTGTTGTACTACCACTTGGGCTCACTGTTCATCACTTTAACGCTTCCTTTCGCTGAGATTTGAGTGAGGCTGCTCGAAGTAGGCACATGTGTGTGTGAGCCTAGCCTCGAAGAATCTGTTGGGACAATCCTTAGGCATAAACGCTGCTGCCCCACCCCCACCCCCACCCCGCACTCTTCCTGCGGCCCGAGGTGAGTGGGTGCGTGCTGCCGAGCCATTCCACCTTCCCCAAGCTCAGATACCGGTGAACATGAGTGTGTTTGACTGTGAAGTGTGTTCAGGAGGGAGAGAGTCGTGAAAACAGGAGCTTGCGTGGGTAAAGCTGAAATGTGTTCCGAGGAAGGCCATGGGGAACTTCCCAGCGAGGGAACCACTTGAGTAAAGACCTCACTCACTGTGGGACCAGAGGGACCAGATTGGGACTGGGCAGGGGCCCAGGAGAGCAGGGTGCCCAGCACGGAGCAGCCAGGAGAGCCAGTGTGGCTGGATCACCCCTGCGAGGCCTGAGGGCTCGGAACAGAGATGTGCTGTGACCCAGTGGCCACTGTGTACTGATTTCACACTTCGAGCAGCTTGCGGGCGCCAGGAGGGTGGCTGAGGGGCTTCCGCGCGGAAGTATTCAGGTTTGAATTTGAAGCCCACATTCCAGCCTGGTGGACTTGCTCAAGACTGGGCCAAGGGGAACAAGATCAAGGAATGGCCCAGACTGAATTAAGGCTAAAGGCTGCTGCGGGCACTTGGAGTCATGAGCCGGGGGTCCTATGTCAGTGGTACCTGTCCCGCGAAACGCAGGCTTTGCTGAAGAGCCGCTGCCACCAGTCTGCCTAACAATCCATCACTCTCCTTTTTTTCAAGCTCTTCACGGAATACGGACGTCTGGCAATGGATGAAATTTTCCAGAAACCCTTCCAGGTAGAATATTAACTCGAAGGGAAATTCATGTTCTGATTTTAATTTAGAGAGCAGGAGACGATACTACATGGGCCAGATCTGGTCAGCTTTCTGCTTTTTCTTTTCTACTCCCCCCTTCCCGCCTCCGCCTTTGGATCTTGACTGGCAGTGGTGGGGGACCACGCAGGGCCAGGGACTAGACCCAGGGCTCTCTCACACAGAGCGCCTGCGCCAGCATTTTTAGCCGTCGCCGAGTGGCCTGTTTTCAGCTGACCAGTGAGTCAGCAATGGGTTTTTGTGTTTTTAAGTGCCTGGAAAAATGAAACAAATCACACAACCAGGAGGAACCTACCTCGGGGTGTAAGTGACCTGAAAGTGACACGCTCCCTGGCCGGAGTTGGACGGGAACTCAGTCGCGCTCATTTGTCACGGCCCTGGCTGCTGCCTTGCACTGGCAGCCTCAGACGTTTCCTCTCTGGCCTTTTATGGGAAAAGCTTGGTGTCCTCTGCTTTAGCCAGAGAAGAGGAACTTGAAGTGTTGCTGGTTTCTTTTCCCTTTTCAAATCTTTGAGTTGGGTTGTGTTTGGGGCTTAGTCCGGGCTCTACGCACAGGGAATGCTTGTGGTGGGGCTCAGGTGACCCGGGGCGGTGCCGGAGATGGAACCCTGGGTGGGCCGTGTGCAAGGCAAGCACCTTATCTGAGGTACTGTCTGGCCCCATCTTCTCCTTTTAGGGGTGCATGGCTCAGACAACCATCTTAGCCTCCACCAAAAACACCTGTTTTTATTTTTATTTATTTTTTTAGTTTTTATTTTTGGCTTTTTGGGTCACACTCAGAAATTCTTAGGGGTTACTCCTGGCTCTGCGCTCAGGAATCACTCCTGGCGGTGCTCAGGGGACCATATGAGATGCCGGGGATTGAACCGGGGTCGACCCTGTGCAAGGCAAATGCCCTACCTACTGTCCTGTCACTCCGGCCCCACACCTGATTTTATTTTTTTTTATTTTTTTTGCTTTTTGGGTCACACCTGGGCGATGCACAAGGGTTACTCCTGGCTCTGCACTCAGGAGTTACTCCTGGCGGTGCTCAGGGTACCATATGGGATGCTGGGAGTCGAACCCAGGTCGGCCGTGTGCAAGGCAAACGCCCTACCTGCTGTGCTATCTCTCCAGCCCCTACACACCTGATTCTAATGCTCAGCAGCTACTCCATTTTCCTTTCTCCCTTGTCTCCTGTCACAGTCCTCGTACCTACCTTTAGGACAGAACCTTGAATTCGGCATGTTCTCAATCTCTTCTTTCGGTTCCCAGTAACCCGTGGGAACAGAAGGGCCAATGGATATATTGCCCAACACAAGCTCATCCTTGTCCTTGTGTTCATGAGGTTTCCAAGACATTACACAACAGATAAATCTCCCTTTGAAGAATCTGGCATTTTGCAAAGAAGTCCTTTAATTGGAGGCAGCATTTATGTAACTTTATAATATATTCTCTTCTTTCCCTAAAAAGACACTGATGTTTTTGGTTCGAGATTGGAGTTTTCCTTACGAGTACAGCTACGGACTCCAGGGAGGAATGGCATTTTTGGAAAAACGTCTGCAGGCAAGTAGGAATATAACCTGAGGAATTGCTTAAATATGGTGATTCGTTTCTCATTTGCCTTAAACGGTTTAAGAAGATTATGGAAATACTCTATATGATATACTTAAAAGTGTTATTTAGTTCACAGTAGTATATTCATTGTAAAGATGAAAGTATCTGAGTTCTCTTTTTCTGTTCTTTTTTGACCACACCTAGCAGTGCTCAGTACTTACTCCTGTCTCTGCTCAGGGTTCACTCCTGGCAGGGTCTGGGGATCCATATGAGTTGCAGGGAATTGAGCCTGGGTCGGCTGCATGCAAGGCAATCGCCCTACCCACTGTACTCTCTCTCTGGCCCCCCAAGAATCTGAGTTCTTTGGTTTTTATTTTCTTTAGTTTGCTTTTGGGCCATGCCTGGTGGTGTCCAGGGGCTATTCCTGGCTCTGCACTCAGGAATAACTCTTGGAGGTGCTCTGGGGACCCTATGGGATGCCGGGGATGGAGCCGGGTGGGCTATGTGCAAGACAAGCAGATTACGCTTCGTACTGTCTCTCAGGCCCCGAATCTGAGTTCTTTGATTATGGACTATAGAGTGTAGGATAACATTGCTTTGTCCTTTCTCCCTTGCCACAAGGAGCTTAGGTTTATCAGGTTACACCCATCACAGTGCTCCGGAGTCACTGCCATTCCTTTGTTTATCTGTAAATTCTTCCCTATGCTATCCTCACAACTCTGGGGTAAAAACCCCCGTTTTTGTTTTTTTCTTTTTAATTTTTATTAGTGAAACACCATGAGGTACAGTTGTAGATTTACAAATTTTTGTGCTTGGGTTTCAATTATGCAATGATCAAATACCCATCCCTCCACCAGTGCCCATTTTCTACCACCACGGATCCCAATATCTCTCCCACCCCCATCCCCCTGTCCCACCCTACCTCTGTGGCAGGGCATTCCCTTTTGTTCTTTCTCTCCTTTTGGGTGTTGTGGTCTGCAAAAGAGGCATTGAGTGGCAATCATGTTCAGTCCATAGTCTACTTTCAACATGCATCTCCCCTCCTGGGAGGATCCTCCAAACACCCTTTATTTGGTGTTTCCTTCTCTATCTGAGCTGCCCTTTCTCCTAGAATGCCCGGCTGGCCACTAAGCTATGGAGTAATCCTCCTGGTGCTGATCTTGGCTATTCTTGGGTATTAATCTCCTATTTTGTTACGTTATATCCCCCAGATGAATGCAATCTTTCTATGTCTATCCCTCTCTTTCTGACTCATTTCGCTTAGCATGATACTTTCCATGTTGTACCACTTTTATGTAAATTTCATGACTTCATCTTTTCTAACAGCTACATAGTACTCCATTGTGTAGATGTACCAAAGTTTCTTTAACCAGTCATCTGTTCTTGGGCACTCAGAAAAGCCCCCGTTTTGATTCTGTTTTCCATTCTATATTTTACACCAGCCTCTGTGTGTGCCTTAAGCATGTCAAGTCTCCAGAACATACATTCTGCTCTTGATCAGAATTTCTGTTTGTTTCGGGATGGACATAAACAGGCCTAGCCTGTTCTCCAGACCTACCACAGAAGAGCCTTTGTCAGTGGCTTGAGGTTCTCCGTCTTGCCCACAGGCCTTTCCTTGTCTCCCCAAATATTGTGCAACCCACGAAACCGTCCAGTGCCTGTTTGTAGGTAGCTGTGGGGCAAGTCAGGGTTAAACACGTTGGCGCCTTAGTTGCCGGTAAAGCTCGTGTGAGCTTTCTCACCGGGCCAAACTGAAGCCGCAGTTCCATTAGAATTGGGAAGTCTTTCTTTTGTCCTGGGCTAGTGGATCCTGGTTGAGAAAGCAAAAGCGTTTTGCGAATTGTTGGTCTTCTTTGGCAGGTGAAAGAACATCAACACCAAGAAATCCAGAGCGTCCGGAACCACATTCACTCGTGTTTCTCCAGCGTCACCTGCTTCCTGCTGCCACATCCAGGGCTGCGGGTGGCCACAAGCCCCGAATTCGATGGGAAGTTGAAAGGTGTGTCACAGATGACGTTGTTGTTGTTATCATTATTATTATTGTTGTTGTTGCTATTATTGTGGAGCTTGGGGTCATACCCAGTAGTACTCAAGGACTGTTTCTGATTCTGGTGCTGGGGGTCATACCAGGGTTGGCTGTGTGTAAGGCCCATAGGATCTCTCCAGCCCCACGTGATGTTATTTTATGTCTTTTTGGTCTCTCCACACAGTGCTCAGAGGTCCAGTGCAAGGGCCCAAGAATGTGCTTGCTCAGGCCTCGCGGTGCTCGGGAGAGCTGGGAGCTGGGAGCCTTTTGGGTCATACCTGGCGGCGCTGGGAGCACCTAGTCACGGGGGACCCTCTGGTGCTGGGACTTGAACCTGGGTTGGCTGCTTCCAGGGGTGCAGCCTTGTTGCTCTACTGTGTCCCAGCCCAGGGGATGTTATAAACATGTGCTTTGACCTTTGCAGTTAAATAGTGACCAGAAAATGTCGATTAGGAATGCAGTGTTTCTTTTTTTTTCCCCTCCGTTTTTTTTTTTTTTTTTTGCCACACCTGCACTGCTCAGGGCTTGCTTCTGGTTCTGCTTTTGAATCATTCCTGGAAGTGCTCAGAGGGGCCAGATGTGGTGCCAGGGATTGAACCAGGCTTGACTATGGGCAAGGCAAGTGCCTTAATCCTGTACTATCTCTTAGTTCCCGAATCTAATGCACACTTAAGAAAAAGAGTGTTTGGTCCAGGAAGATAGTACAGGACTTAAGGTGCTAATTTTGCATATGGCTGAACCCAGTTTGATCCCTGGCACTGCATATGGTCCTCTGAGCACAGCCGGGTGTGGCCCAAACCCACTGCAACCTCCCAAACAAGGAGAAAGTATTTCTTGTGTGTGTGTGTGTGGGGGGGGGGGGCAGTAGTACAGTGGGTAGGGACTTTGCCTTGCACGTGGCTGACCCGGGTTTGATCCCCGGGATCTCATATGGTCCTCTGAGCACCACCAAGGGAAATTCCTGAGTGCAGAGCAGGAGTAACCCCAGAGCATCACCGGGTATGCCCCCCACCCAAAAAAAAAGTACTTTTAGGGGTGGGGGTGGGGCATACCTGGCAGTCTCCAGGCTTACTCTTTTTTTTTTTTTTTTTTGCTTTTTGGGTCACACCCGGCAATGCACAGGGGTTACTCCTGGCTCATGCACTCAGGAGTTACTCCTGGCCATGCTCGGGGTACCATATGGGATGCTGGGAATCGAACCCCAGTCGGTCGCGTACAAGACAAACGCCCTACCCACTGTGCTATGGCTCCAGCCCCTCAGGGCTTACTCTTGACTCTTGCGTTCATGGACCACTCCTGGTGGGGCTTGGGGGGACCTTTGTCGCGCCGGGGTCCGAACCTGGGATGCAAGCGTTCCCCGCTGTACCGTCGCTCCCGCTCCGAGAGACTGTGTTTACTTAGAAGAGTTCACCGTGACCCTCAGAATTATTTTTTGCATTGGAGATGGCGTGTATCCCTGAGTCATCTCAGAGAGGAGGTGGTTGGCTGTCGAGAGAAGAATGTGGTGAGTGGTGGGAGCCTGACATTTGCAGGGCCCGGGTCGGGTCCCTGCACGAAGCAGCCACAGCACTGCCCACAGTGGCCGGTGACCCCTTGCACTGCTGGCCAGGTCCAGCAAAAGGCAGACTCAGTACAGGTCAGTTGTGACCAAGCAGGACGGACTTCCTAAAGGGAGCACGATCATGGCATGGCTGTTGTTTTCCGTCTCATTTGTCATTAGAGCAAATAAACATTTGCTAACACCAGGAAGTGGCGGCTCGAGGCAGCTTGGAGAAATCCGAGCGGAGGCTCTTGGGTTCCATTATCTTGGTTCCTTGTTTACTGAGGCCTCAAGTCACTTAATCGCCCTCCACTTACTTGCGCATACCCTAGGCACGTTGATTTATGAACTTGATTTATGAACTTGCGGCAGCTTCTTAGCTTCCCGGTAAGTACAAAGAATCGTAAAAAAATAATTGCTGCCATTTTTAGAGCCCAGCAGTGCATGCCCCTGTCTTAGTTGGTTCGGGCTGCTGTTGCGACATACCACATGCCAGGGAAATTAGAAATAGTGCCGGCTCGTTTCCCAGTTCGGGCGGCTGGGGGTCGCATGGTGCTTTGGTGGATGGGCAAGGCCTCCTGTGCCTTTGGTTTCCCGGTGTGTCCTCACCGGGTGCTCGGGGCTAGGAAGCAGCCATTAAAACCAAGTGTACTGGGGCTGGGAGCGATAGCACAGCAGGTAGGGCATTTGCCTTGCACGTGGCTGACACGGGCTCAATTCCCAGCATCCCAAATGGTCCCCTGAGCACCGCCAGGAGTAATTCCTGAGTGCAGAGCCAAGAGTAACCCTTGTGCATCACCGGGTGTGACCCAAAAAGCCAAAAAAAAAAAAATGTACTGCTAGGGACCAAAAACAGTGTCCAGGCCTTACGCCTAAAGATAATGATAATGATAATAATAACAACAACAATAATAATAATACAGGAATCGGTGGGATAGTACAGCAGGGAGGGAATTTGCCTTGCGCACAGCTGACCTGGGTTCAATCCCTGACACCCGATGTGGTCCCCTGAGCCCCACCAGTAATGATCCCTGAGTGCAGAGCCTGGAGTGAGCCCTGAGCACCATCAGGTGGGGCCCACACTGTCCCTTGCCACCAGAAAAAGGTTTGAGGTTTGAAACTGTGAAATGAACTTTCTCTCCCCTCTAGTGTCTAGACGTGAGATTGACAGACTTCTTTTCCCCGTAACGAGCCGGATAGTAAACACTGTAGGTTTGCTGGCCTGTGAAGCCACTCTGCTTTGTACTTGTAACCAGAAAGCAGACACAGACTTCATGTGAATGAATGTGAATGAGTGACAGTGACGGTTCCCAGGAGAAAATCATATTGACGGATCCAGTTAGCAGGCTGCTGTGAGTTTGGCCCAAGGGCCATGAGTTTGTCACAAACATCACTGGTGATATTTTCTGTTCTTCCCTATCTTTTCCCCTGCCTGCGCACAGGATCAATCACGCTTCTAACTTGCGCATCATCTGTCCTCGTATTTTGTGTTTGATTCACTTCACGGCCCCTTGTCTCACTTCTTTGATGCTGAGAGCGGAGTTTCCCAAGGGCGTGCTCCTCAGCGACAGATGGCGTGTCGGTCCCGTTTCCTCATGAAGCCCAGGTGGGGTTTCACAGTGGGTCCAGTTTCTACTGCTTACATCAGTATTTGTAGAGATATCTGCTGATAATACAGCCTGGGTGTTAACCAGGCACTTTACTTTCGCAGAACTAGCGATATCACAGGCTGTATCGTGGGGCTGGAGGGAGAGGAGAGCAGTGAGGCTCTTTCCTTGCCTGTGTTTGCCCGGGATTCTGCCCGTGGCCTCCCGTCCAGCTTGAGCCCCGCCGGGAGTGAACCTCGTGTGACGCACCAGGAGTTAGCCCTGAGCTCGCCAGGTGGGACTCCCCCAAACAAAACCAATCAAAGTTCTATCATCGTAGTTTTAAATGGCATTTCCCTGACTGCTGATTCTCCCGAGTAATGTCGCCCGCTGTGTTTTTCTTGTCTTTGTTTCCATTCACTTTCCTCTGAAGTTCCTGTTTCTTCATTTCGTCCTGAGTTATGCTGAGCTGCTTGTCTTTTTTTTTTTTAATGATTCACCGTGAGATGCAGTTACAGACTTTCATGATTAACTTTCAGTCATGCAGTGATCAAGCACCCATCCCTCCACCAGTGCGTATTTTCCACCACCAGTGTTCCCAGTATCCCTCCTGCCACCTCCCTATATATATATATTCCCTCCTCTGTGGCAGGCACATTCCCTTTTACTCTCTCTCTCTCCTTTTGGGTGTTATGGTTTGCAGTATGGGTAATAAGTGGCCATCACCTTCAGTCCGTAGTCTACTTTCAGCATCTCCCATCCCGAGCGAGCCGTCTAAGCATCATTTACTTGGTGGTCCCTTCCCTATCTCAGTTGCCTTTCCCCGCCCACATGTGAGGCCGTGAGCTGCTTTTTTTCATCTGCATTGTAGAGATCCTGGGACTAAGTCAAAGCAGGAGCACAGCCACATAGGAAGGGGATTGAGACAGCCAGTGCCACAGCCCGAGAGGAGGCCCGCAGAGCTGGGGTGGAGGGAATGGTGGGGGTGGGGGGTGGACCAGGGACACTGGTGGAGGGCCCCTGACACTCCAGTTTGTGGAGGTGGTGTCGGGACACTGTGTCATACATCACGGTGTCTAACATGGAGGGGGTAAAGTCCCGTGTCTGCTCCACTGTGTGATCCTTCAGAGGTTCCGAGTTGCAGATTCTTCCTCTCCCTTGCTTTGACTCTGTTTGGGGGGAGGGGTGGCATGCCTGTGGTTCCGGGCTTCCTCCTGGCTCTGTGCTCATTTCTGTTCCTCTGGGGCTCGAGTTCCGTTGTCACATCTCAGGGTTTGTTTGCACTGGGGATTGTCTGATCCCCCCCTTTTTTGTTTCTCTGTGTTCCGCGTTCATGAAGGTCACCTGATACGTATCTTTTACTTTCTGACTCACTGCCCCTCCAGTGCACCGGGTTGCAGGAAAGTGCGAGATTTCATCTTTTCTCATGGCTGGAGAGTAGCCTGTTGTGTCTATCCACCTCAGCTTCCATGCCTGCGCTGTGTGGCTGGGCATGTGGACTGTTTGCAGACTTTGCAACGGTGCTGTCAGTGGTACTGCCGTGACCGCAGGCTTACATCTGTCTTTTGGGTTAATGCCTTTTTGTGTTCCGTCGGGTAAATCTCAGGAGTGGAGGGGCTGGAGCGACAGCACAGCGGGTAGGGCGTTTGCCTTGCACGCAGCCGACCTGGGTTCGATTCCCAGCATCCCATATGGTCCCCTGAGCACCGCCAGGGGTAATTCCTGAGTGCAGAGCCAGGAGTAACCCCTTAGCACCGCCGGGTAAGACCCAAAAAGCCCCCCCCCAAAAAAAAAATCTCAGGAGTGGAGTTTCGGCTCATACAGAAGTATCTTGAGAAGTCTCCAAGCCTTATTTCCAGAATCATACAACAGTCCCTCCGACAGTGGATGAGGTTTCTTTTTTTGGTTTGTGGGCCACATCCAACGATGCTTGGCATTATTCCTGGCTCTGCGCTCAGGAACCACTCCTGACTGTCTCTCCGGCCGAGATTTCCTTTTTTTACCTTATCCTCGCCAGCACCATGTCTTTTTCACATAGATCATTCTCACTAGTGTAAGGGGGTATCTCCTTGCTGTTTTGGTTTGCCATTTCTCTGATAGTCTGTGACTTGTTCATGTGCCTGTTGGTCATCTTTATGCCCTTATTTTGGGCCACACCTGGTGGTGCCCAGATCTTACTCTTGGCTCTGAGCTCAGGATTCACTCCTGATGGGCTCAGAGGACCATGTCAGATGCTGGGGATTCAGTGATTGCTCTGGCCCCATCTGTCATTATTCACAGTCACAATCACAACCATCCTGTTACTCGTCGATTGCCTCGAGCAGGCCCCAGTCATTATTATTATAAGATAAAAATTGTTTGGATTTTAGGGGCGGGAGAGATAGTATGTTGGGCAGAGCACTTGCCTTGCAAGCAGCTGACCCATGTTTGATCTCTGGCATCCCATATGGTCCCTTGAGCACCGCCAGGAGTGATTCTTGAGTGCAGAGCCAGGAGTAACTTCAGTTAGACACATTACCTCTTGTTTTACTTTCCATATCTCGTTCCGCTTTTTTTATTTTTGCTTTTGGGACACACCCGCAGTGCTCAGGGCTGACTCCTGGCTTTCTGCTCAGGGATCACACCTGGTGGACTTGGAAACACGTGGGATGCCAGGGATCAAACCTGGGTTGGCCATGTGCATGGCAGCACCCTAGCCATCGTGCGATCACTCCAGCTCCTCATTTTTCCTCCCTACTTCCTGCCATCAGGTCTCTCTGTTCTGTTCTTCGCTTGCAGCGTTTATGTCCCTCTTTCCTGAGTAAGACCCATGTTTACTCCTTTGGGCGCTGAGAACCTTCCTGACCCTGGCCCGGTCTCACCTCCTTCCAGGGTCTTGTTCAGAGTTGAGTTAATTTGCATGCTAACACTGGTTTGATCCCCAGAACTGCATCAGCCTCTGAGCAGTTCCAGGAGGGATCCCTGAATGGAGCGCCAGCAGGGGGCCCGAGCACCACTGGGTATGGCCTGCCCCACCCCTCCAAAAGAGAGGGAAATGTCTGAATGTAATGAGTGGCGTAGGATGAAAGGCAGGCCAAAGGTATTCTGCGTGTTTGAATTCTGGACTCTCAAGGACTCAGTTCTGGAGGAAAGAAGAGAGTGAAGCTCTATTAGGACAAAGCTCGATCCCTGGGCCCAGAGCCAGGGCGGGTCAGGCAGGGCCCTCACTCTCAGAAGCACATGTGACCGCGAAGGTCACCGCTCCTGTTCCCCATGGCTCTGTCGGACTCACGGTTTCCGTCTTCACGGTCCTGTGAACAGATGTCTCCGGTGATTTCAAGGAGCAGTTACAGATGCTGGTGCCGTTCCTGTTAAACCCGGCTAACCTAATGGAAAAGGAGATCAATGGCTCCAAAGTCACCTGTCGAGGGCTGTTAGAGTATTTCAAGGTAAATTTTTCCTTTTTTATTGGAAACCTTTGAATTCTGGTAAAACTGGTCCATGTTATACGCTGATGTGAATTTCTAAGCCGACCTGAGTATTGTAGAGCCTCGTGGAGGGACTGGCCGGCCCACTGCGGGATTCTGCCGAATGCTTAGAGCATCAGACTGGGCAGAGCAGTTTGAGCACCGCGGTTGTGGCCCACAAAAGGGCCCCCCGAGGAAGCTTTAGAAGCCAAGTTTTATGGGTGAGGCATTTCGAGACTTCCGTGTTCTTCCTCAGGGGGCCACTGGGCGGCAGTGTTGGCTAAGAACCCAGTGGCTTTTTTTCACTGTTCTCTAGGAAGATGGTGTGGACAGACAGGAAGTGGTTAGGAAATGCCGGGAGTAGAAGGAGCCAGCGCCTAGCTGTGGCAGTGGCAGTCTGCCCGCGGGCATGGTGAGGCCAGTGTGCATGGGGGGGAGGGGTCGGCGGGACCCCGCCGGGAGACTGGAGCGGCCAGAGGACGTGATTGTTAACAGCACTAACTATGCACCAAAGGTGTGACGTGGTTTTGCTAATTTGATCTAGATCAGAGGTTCCCGAACTTACTTGGCCTAATACCAATTTTTCAGAAAAATAATCACTCAGTGCCCCCCTGGAATGCTACATTCTTTACTCGAACAAACGGTAGGCACCCCCGCTTTGGGGGGAAAAAATAATCATGTTTTGAGAGACTGATCTTACAGGATAACAATGAGACAACTAGACCAGGTTACCCTTTTTAAAAAATCCAGGGGGGTCTGAGGGATAGCGCAGCGGAGAGGCCCCTGCCTTGCACGCAGCTGACCTTGGTTTGAGCCTCGGCACCCCCTGTGGGTTCCTGAGCCCCGCCAGGTGTACCCCCTGACCAACTCAGGTGAGGCCAGACGGCCCGGCTTCCCACCAAGATACCAGTTACCAGGCTACTCAGGGCTCCTGGACGGTGCCAGCGACATCTGAGGCGGGTTCCCCCCACACCGGGAAGCTCTGATCTAGGTCTTGGGGAAACCGAAGTTGTTTGATCACTGTTTCTACACTTCGAGTATGATTAACAGTAAGAGAACGACATTTCTCTGTTGATGTTCTCAGGCGTATATTAAGATTTACCAAGGAGAAGACCTTCCTCACCCCAAGTCCATGCTGCAGGTAAGCAGTTCCTCGGCTTCCTCGGTGCTGGCCTTGTCCCCCGAGCTGACCGCGGGCAGTGCAGGCCAGGCCCTCCTTTGCTGGGGTGCCAGACCTGCTCAGCGCTGCGCAGCCCGCACCGTCACTGTCTCCCGCCTTGTCCTGGTCCGGGGAGGAGGGGTGTGTCGTGAAAGCCCCACGGCCGCTGCCCACTGGGCCTGGTGCTGCTGCCTGGCGCGTGGTGGGGGACGTGGGTCTCATCAGGTGCAGGTGAATCTTGCCCCTGTGGTCGATGTTTTATTGTTGTTTGTTGTTTGCTTTAGTGGATCATAGTCTTGGCACTAATTTGCTAATTCCTAGTGAGCTTCCTGCTATTTCCCACTTGTCTGATTTGGAAGGTCTTGATGTCTTCCTTCCTTCCTTCCTTCCTTCCTTCCTTCCTTCCTTCCTTCCTTCCTTTTTTCCTTCCTTCCCTGCCTCCTTCCCTACTTCCCTCCCTCCTTCTTTCCTTCCTCCCGCCCTCCCTCCCTCCCACCTGGTACAACCTAGGACTTACTCCTGGCTCTGCATTCAGGGATCACTCCTCACGGGGCTCGGGACCATATGGGGTCCCAGGCATCCGACCCGAGTCAGCTGTGTGCCAGGCGAATGCCCACCTTACCTTTATACTATCACCATAGTGGTTTTGATATTTTCAACATGTCATTTTGTTAAGGTGTAATTCCTTATTGGCTGGATGTAGTCCATTTAGTACCAGATGTTTATTGAGTAATAAAACGTTTTCACAGAGAAAGCTAGAATCTGGGATTGATGTTCTAAAGGTACATAGTTTCCATTTTTGTTCTGGCGTGCAGCTATTTCATTTAAAATCGAAGCCAAAGGAGTATGTTGTTGAAGGTTTAATTTATGATGACCTTACATGTAAGAACACTATTGGTTAGAGAGATAGTACAGTGGGAGAACGTGTGCTTTAATACGCAGCTGGCCCGGATTTGATCCCCGGCACCCAATATGCACCGCCAGGAGTGATTCCTAAGTGCAGAGCCAGGATTCACCCCTGAATACCGCCAGGTGTGACCCCAAAACCAAAAAAATGAAATACTATTTGGCACAAATTTGGCAGAAGAGTTCATTATTTTGTAAATGGGAATATGTAGAAAGCTGAAAAATAGCAGAAGGTGCAGGACGGTCATTCTGGGGGAAAGCGTTCCTCTGAGTATTTGTGGGGCAGCGTCGGAGGTGGCGGGATTCATGGCTTGTGCTTTTCTTCTCCTCAAAGGCCACTGCAGAAGCCAACAACTTAGCAGCCGCCGCCTCTGCCAAGGACATCTACCATAAAAGTATGGAGGAGGTACGCAGAGCACTTTCTTTCCTTTTTTGAGGGGAGGGGTGGGGGACGGAAACACACCCAACAGTGCTTGGGCTTCCTCCTGGCCCAGCGCCCAGGGGGCACGCCCAGCGGGGCTCAGGGACTCCTCTGTGGGGGCCGGGGATCGAACCCGTTCGACCTCGTGCAGGTCATCATCCCTCTGAGCATATTTTCCTCTGGGGTTGCGCTGGGCGCTGCTCAAGGGTGTCAGGATTTGAACCCAGGTCGCTCCCGCAGCTGCATGCTAGGCAAGAGCCTTAAACGGTACTCTAGGGAGCCCCACTTTTGGGGCTGGGGGGGGTCACACCTAGTGGTACTCGGGGGTGCATTCAAGCTCCGAGTTGTAGCTGAGTTCTAAAGTTCAGACTTGATCATGTCGGCAGGACGCTGGGGCCCGGGGCACACTGGACGGTGCCCGCCTGGCCTGGGGGTGAGGTGTCAGGCCCAGGGGTGCCGGAGACCACCAGGGCCACACCTGCAGTGCTTGAGGTACCCCATGGGGCTGGGATTGGACTCAGAGCCTTGAGTGTCCCGGGCTTGGCTCTGGCCCTTTAACTGTCTCTCTGGTCCCCGTCTAATGAATGTGAAGGTGATGCAGCAGCAAAGTTGTTTTCAGACCCTCCTGGTACTGGGTCACTACGTGTTGGCTGTCCCTATCCCGTGTGCCACTGGCCCCTGGCCCTTTCAGCTGCTTTTCAGAGGAAGCGTGCCCAGATCGTTAGTCCTGGTCATCCGTGGTCCTCCTACTTAGCTCAGACATTTGCAGATCCGCACGCTTCCTTCGGCCCGCGGGTTTGACGGGGCGCTGGGAGAGAATGGAGTATCGTGCGTGTGTGTTTTTAGGTGTGTGGAGGCGAGAAACCGTACTTGTCTCCAGAAATTCTGGAGGCGAAGCACAACGAGTTCCGCCAGCTCGCTCTGGATCATTTCAAGAAGACCAAGAAGATGGGCGGGAAGGACTTCAGCCTCCGCTACCAGGAGGAGCTGGAGCAGGACATCCTGGAGTTCTACCAGAACTTCTGCAAACACAACAGCAGCAAGAACGTCTTCAGCACCTTCCGGACCCCCGCCGTGCTCTTCACAGGCATCATGGTCCTGTACATCGGCTCGGGCATCACCGGCTTCATCGGCCTGGAGGTGCTGGCGCAGCTGTTCAACTGCCTGGTGGGTCTGCTGCTCATCGCGCTGCTCACCTGGGGCTACATCAGGTACTCGGGCCACTACCGCGAGCTGGGCGGCGCCATCGACTCCGGGGCTGCCTACGTGTTGGAGCAGGTGAGTGCTGCGGGCCGGGCCCCCAGGTGCCTCCTGTGAGCATCCATTATTAAATACCTGGGGGGAGAGTTTCACAGGGACAGTCGGTCCATCTTAGTGCCCTCCGCTTTTTCCCAAATGTCAGTAGTGGAGTGATGCACCCTTTTTTACTTGTAAAGGGGACACACCAAGCTACTCCATTCTCTGGGCCGTTAAAAAGAGTCATCTTGGGCTGGACCAATAGCACAGCGGGTAGAGCGTTTGCCTTGCACGCGGCTGACCCGGGTTTGATTCCCACATCCCATATGGTCCCCCGAGCACCAACAGGAGTGATTCCTGAGTGCAAAGCCAGGAGTAACCCCTGAGCATCGCCGGGTGTGACCCAAAAAGCAAAAATAAATAAACAAATAAAAAGAGTCATCTTGGGACTGGATTGCTAGCCCGGGGGTGGGGTGCTTGCATTGCACTTGGCTGGCCTGGCTTTGATCTCTGGCAACCCCTATGGGAGCCCTGCCAGGAGTGATCCTTGAGCACCACCAGACGTGGCCAACAGCCAAAAATAAATAAAAAAGTGTTATCTTCCTTGTAAGAAGAAGCTGCCTTGGGGCTGGAGAGATAGCACAATGGGTAGGGCGTTTGCCTTGCACGAGGCCGACCCGGGTTCGATTCCCAGCATCCCATATGGTCCCCTGAGCTCCGCCAGGAGTAACTCCTGAGTGCAGAGCCAGAAGTAACCCCTGTGCGTCGCCAGGTGTGACCCAAAAAGCAAAAAAAAGAAGAAGAAGAAGAAGAAGAAGAAGAAGAAGCTGCCTTAAAAATTAATGTCCGTTAGTATCCTCCTTCGAGGATAAGGTCCGTAGTATGTGTTTGCTCTGCCTAAAAGTTGTCCTGAATGCAAATAAGCGTTCCAGCTCAGACCATGTTCCTCACAGGAAATTTAATTATATTGATTCTGTTCTCCCTTCCATGATGAATGTGCTCCCCTGTAAATCAAGAGCCTTGAAAAATAAGAACTTAAAAATCCCAATCCTTGATCCTTTTAATGGTGGCAGCCTTGATTCTTTTAATGGTGGCAGCCTCTTCATTTAAAATCTCCCAGGGGTGGGGCTGAAGACATAACACAGGTGCGAGGGCATTTGCCTTGCACACAGCTGATCTCGGTTCGATTCCCAGCATCCCATATGGTCCCCTGAGCACCGCCAAGGGTAATTCCTGACTGAGTGCAGAGCCAGGAGTAACCCCTGTGCATCACCGGGTGTGACCCAAAAAGGAAAAATAAATAAATAAAAAACTCCCAGGGGCCTGAACAATAATAGCACAGTGGGTGGTACACTTGCCTTGCATACGGCAGATCTGGGTTCACGCTCTGGCATCCTTTGTGGTCCCCTGAACACCACCAGGAGTGATCCCTGAGTGCAGAGCCAGGAGTAAGTCCTGAGCTACGCCAGGTGTGGCCCAAGTCTTCCACCCACCCCCCCCCCCCCAAAAAATCTCAAAAGCCACGACCCTGATATGAGCCCCATGTCCAGACAAGTGCTGAGTGCGTGAATAGATCAGCCGGCTCGGGAGAGAGGCCTGCCTCTTCCCCTGCCCCATTCCCTCCAGTTGCTTCCTTCCCCAGACTCCCTGCCCCTCCCCCAGCCATCACATTTTCATTCTTCTCTGGACCATGCCGAGGACTCTGTCTTGCTCTTATGCCGTGGTTTGGTGGGTTTTTTTTTTTTTTTTGGTCTTTTTGGGTCACACTTGAGGACAATGCTCAGGAGTTACTTCTTGTTTTGCACTCAGGAATTACTTTACTCCTGGTGAATTATTCCTGGTGGTATTCAGGACATCCTATGGGGTGCCAGGGATCCAGCCCGGGTTGGCTGCGTGCAAGGCAAACACCCTTCTCGCTGTGCTATCACTCTGCAGGACAGACCCCCTCGTCCCCGCCCCCCCCCCCCCCCCCCCCCCAGTGTTGTATTTTGTTAACCGATGTGTCAATCCCACGGACTTTTGCAGGCCACTTCTCACATGGGCAACTCTACTCAGGCTGCCGTGAGAGAGACGGTCGTCGGGAAACCACCTATGGACAAAAAGGCTCAGTAACGTCTTTCACAAGAGGATCCCTCCGGAACCCAACTAGCCCCTACTGATTTCTGGGTCTCTGCCATGGCCATAGGCCGGCACCCAGGGGAGCGGATCTGGGTCCCCTGGGAGAGCTGAAACACGCACTGTGAAAGGAACAGACTCTCGCCTGATCCTTGGTGGAGACCCAGCTCGCATCTTTGTCCTTACTGCTCTGCTGTGTGCACTTTAGGGGGGAAGCCCGCGGGAGAGTGGGGGGCGATCCGGTCCTCACGCGCCTCCGAGTGCCTTTCAGATGGGATTCGGGCTTTCGCACACCCAGTGTGGGGGTTTGAGACCCTCATGAATGATTCTGCGTAGGGGTGAAATCGCTCCGTTCTCTTACACCTTTCTCTTTTGAGAAGAAAGTCTTTTCCTTTGAACAAACCTTCTAAAAGCCTAGAACTAAAGACCGAGAAATGACACCATGACACTTTAAAAATCTTCCCCACGCTTGCCACGTGATGTGGAAAAATCATGTCTTACCGAACTCCGTTTCTTACCTTGAAACTCAAGGTCTTTGACACGCTCTTGTTGATTTTGGTTTTTTCCCCTCCTCCTGCCTTTGTTTCTACAGCTTCTTCCTAAGAAAGAGGCTGACATGCCTTGAAAAGCCAGAGTGGCTGAAAATGAAAGGGTGGGGTCGGAGACACTAAGAAAAAAAGAGTTTAAGTGACCTCTGATAAGCCACTGGAATTTGTGCCTTGATCAGATTCACGCTCTGTCAGTTTACATGCATGTATTATATTCCACTCACACAGTGGTCACTTGAGAGGTTTTTGTTTTTGAGCCTTTTGATACGAACAGAAATTTATTAGGGATTAGTGCAGAAAGACATTACCAAATATTATTGAGATCCCATTTCATGTTGACTAGCAGTCTTGATCTGAAGTGTGCATTCCTATTCTCCTTTGTGCTAATGTTTTTTATTAATGCAACTAAAACCGTCCCTTTATTTAGTGAGTCTCCCGATATTTAAGTTGACTTGACTAATCTGGTAGCTTTAAAATCCTAAGGACCAAAATTCATCCAGATAGAGAAAATTATCTAGAACTCTTTTTTAATATACCCTTGATTATATGATTTTTTTTTTCTTTTTGGTCCACATTCGGCAGTGCTCAGGTCTTACTCCTGGCTCTGTTCTCAGCGATCACTCCTGGCAGGGCTCGGGTGAACCTATACAGTGCTGGGGATAGATGCTGGGTAGTAACTGCAAGGCAAGTGCCCTACCCATTGTACTATCTCTTAGGCCCGAGATAAAAAAATTTTTTATCTGCTAGTTGCTTTTCACCTTTGATTTGTAGTGGTGAATTATCATGAATTCTGACTTCCTAAAACTTGCCTGCAGGTATTTATATAAATATTCAGGTATGTGAGCCTTAGTTATTAAACTAATGAAGAAGGTAAAGTCTGAGTGTAAATCCTATGTACGTAAAGTGTGAATGGGAGATGAAAAAAATGAGTCTTTTCTAAAAGCATGTAATCAAGACTTCGCTGCTTTAACACTTTACCACTCATGTATTTTTATAAGTACTAAAGTAATTCTGAGCTTTTAAAAAATCTTTCCTATTTTCATATATCCTTGACTGAAGTTTTTGCCTCTCTCGCCATTTCTTTTGTTCTTTCACCACTGAGTTTCAGAAAAATTCCAGCTTGTTGTAAAAGCAACTTGCACGTGAGTGATGTTTATCTTTGGCTGTTGAGATTATTAAGAGTTTGCTTCTGAAATTTTGATATATTTTCAGGTAACCTTTCTTCCCCTGGGTTTCATAATTCCTTGGTAACACCTTTGCAGATGTCAAGATACCTAGCTTTTAATGTCTTTTTCATAAGCAGACGCGCAGATTTCGGAATGATTGTTTAGGGTGTAGAGTTCTGCTCTTTTAATGGTGAGGAAAGGATGATGTGTTTAAAAACCTCATTGCACTAGTCGTAGTTTTTAACCAAAAATACGATCATGAAAGGTTTAATGAAATCTTACAATGTAGTTTGTTTATCATTTCTGTTGGGTCTTAGAAAGAAATGGCCTAATTATGCTGGGAAAGTTCTTTTTTTGTTGGTTTTTTTCTTATGTCTCTGGAAAATGAGAATTCTGATGAATTTTTGGAGCACTCTTCCGCTTAATTAATTTTAAAAGATATGCATTCTGATTTGTCTATAACTAGTCCCGGGGAGATTTATAACCAAGTTGGAAAGAATGTCTTTACCTAGAAGCTTCCCTTCGCCTCCTCTGTGGGTCAGGGACATTGCTTAGGACTGGAGACCTTCTTAGCTGGCGTCTCTTGCGTTCCCCCTGCCGACCTGCCTTTCTGCCTTGGTGCCAGTATCAACCCAGAGCTTCACACATTCCAAATTTGCGCTGAGCTGCTCCCCAGCTCTTATTAGCACTCTTGCTTCATTACTTTGGATGTTTCTGACAGTGTATGGAGCACATTCCTGTTACCACGCAAGAGGCTCTCAATTTTATTTTATTTTATTTTTGCTTTTTTTGGGTCACACCCAGCGATGCACAAGAGTTACTCCTGGTTCATGCACTCAGAAATCTCTCCTGGCAGTGCTCGGGGGACCATATGGGATGTTGGGAATCGAATTTGGCTCTCCCTCGTGCAAGGCAAACGCCCTACCCGCTGTGCTATTGCTCCAGCCCCTCTCAAAATTTTTTTATTAAAACAACTCAGTATTTAAGTAGTACTGTTTTTTTTTTTTTAAATACTTGGTTAGCTTTCATTTTTGTTGCTGAGGGGGTCACACCTGGCAGTGCTTGGAGAGAAATGTACTGGGGATCGAACCAGGGCCGAGCACAAGCCATATGCTCTACCATGTAATCTACCCAGACTCCCCCTCGCCCCGGCTTTTTGTTTTTTTTTCTGGGGAGTGTGGGGGTTGCAGCGTTCGCCTAAATCCTGCAACTTGGCTGTTCCTGGCTCTGTGCTCGAGGGTGACCCCGGCTTGGTCGGATAAGAGGCAAGCACCCTGACCCCAGCTATCTTCTTACAGTAAAGAATACTAGAGTCTTCCTATCCCCCAGTATCGCCAGATGTAGTAACTCCTGAGTGCAGAGCCTGGGTGTAACGTCTGAGCATCGCTCAAAGACAACCAAAAAATTCAGAATCAGGCTAGACAGCAGCGGGTAGGGCAAATTGCCCTGCATGCAGCTGACCCGGCATCCCATACTGTCCCCCCGACTCCCACCAAGTGATCCCAGAGTGCAGAGTGTGACCCAAACACCTCCCTCTGCCCACGCTCACCAAATGGAATCAAAGTTTTCTTTCACTGAGAAATATTTCTAGATCGCTTTGTAGACAGAATGAAGGTGAACTCTCATGTACAATGACAAACATCTTGAGAGTTCTGCCTTATTTTTTACAGTAAACCAGGGAATCGACCCCATGCAGAGTGTATTAACTCCAGTTTTTTACTATCTAAAGTCACCTCTGGATGTTGTTTTCCGCCCGTTCTCTTTTCTGTGAAGTGAAGCGTTTGGGCAGAGTCTGCCTCCCCCGTACGCTCAGCACGCCAACACACCCAGTGTCCCACCTGGCTTGTGAAAATTGGCCCTGTGAGAATGTGCGTGAGAATGAGTATCTGTGCACATGTGAGTTATAAATTACAGTAGGTTGGTTTAAGTCCAGGCAAAGAGAATGCAAGTTGTTGTATTTTTATTCTTACTTTTTAATGCTGTAATCTGTGTGTGGTTGAAGTGGGCCTGGGGCTATTCCTGCTTCTCCTATGGAGTGACCCCATGTGGTGCTTGTGGGACCGTGTGCAGTGCAGGGGACTGAGCTGGGATCTGCCCCGTGCATGGCAAGCACCGTGCAGTTTGCCTGGCCCTCTGATGATGGGATGTGCAGAAGTCATTATGAAATGCAATTTAGGGTGATTTAGGATGGCTGTCATCTAAGGGGGCCAAAATTGGCTACATCATCCCAACTTACATTAAGATGCAGTGACGGTGTCATCAATCAGGGCCAGAATCAAACAAGCGCAGCTAAGGACTGTTGTGTGATTGGTTTTATGCCATTAAGCAGCTCATTGTAAAGACCATTTGCAGTTGAGTAATGTTCTTTGTCAATGATGTTACAGTTAGATTTTGGGTTGTAGTTCTTACACATTCTCTCCTTGGAGTGCATAAGACCAACACGGAGGCTTTCTTTTCAAAATGTAAAAAGTGCACATTTGATGCAGGGTTTGACTCAGTTATCGAACACGCATTGTGGAGCCAAAGTGCATGCACACCACGTGCACGCACACAAACACGCATTTAGGTTTGCAGCTTTTTATGTTCAGGGACTGCCTTACATGATCTCGGGGTCAGCTTGAGAGTCACCCCCCCCTTTTTTTTCTTGGCCACACCCAGCAATGTTCAGGGTTTATTCCTGGCTCTGTACTTGGGGGTGCTCAGGGGATCATATGGGGTGCCGGGGATCGAATCTGGGTTGGCTGTGTGCAAGGTGAGTGCTCTGCCTGTTGTACCATCACTCCAGCCCCAGAGAGTTCCCATTTTTATAAGCAGTTTCACAGACTCAGAAACCGTAATGAGAAAAACTTCTCTGTGGGGTGGGAAAATGGAATTCAGGGTTGACTGGGGGCAGGTGGGTGATCTGAGTGGAGCTTCAGGGTAGGGGGCACAAGCACAGGCTCCCGGGGTTCAGGGCAGTAAGGATGCCTCTCAGTTGGTAGGCCAGTTAATTTTTTTTTTTTTGGGTCACACCCGGCAATGCACAGGGGTTACTCCTGGCTCTGCGCTCAGGAATCACCCCTGGCGGTGCTCAGGGGACCATATGGGATGCTGGGAATTGAACCTGGGTCGGCCGCATGCAAGGCAAACGCCTTACCCGCTGTGCTATTGCTCCAGCCCCAATTTTCTTTTAACCTTTTAAGTTAGGATGTCACAGTGCCTTCTCTGAGAAGTCAATGTCCAGTATCCCTCCAAACAGAATTGGAGTCAGAACTTTGGAAAATATTTCTTGTAAGAAGGAAAATTTAGAATTGTGACTTTAAACCCCTAAATTTTCCATACAAAGAAAACTGAAACCACAAATAAAAACAAAAAGGGAGGGGAGGATCATAATTTTGAAAATTGCCAACAGTTTTCCATACATGGAACTTTGAAAAATGATTCCCCCCGCCACCCCCCACAAAAATTAGGGCAGGCAGGTTTTTAAGGAAATTTTTCTTCTTTGGGGAAAGAGTTCCGTGTGCCTGATCTCAAGTTTAAATGTAGTATTCTTAAGACCACAGAAGGGTCTCATCTGCTTCCCAAAGTTTTCCCATTCCAATGCCATCGTTGACTTCAGCCTTAATAAAGGAGTTAATACTGATCTTGAACTTAACAGATTGTTCTTTTCTGTTTTCTTTCTCTTTAAAAACTGAGTTGCTTAAGGCACTTTCTCAGATTCTTGCCTTTGACTTTAGAATGCAATCCGCTTTTTAAAAGTGCAATGAGACCAATTTACGCCATCGCTATAATAAAAGCATGTTTGTTTCTTATTTGCAAGAATAAAGATCCCTACAGCCTGATTATCTGTTGTCTTTTTTTTTTCCCCTCTTGACAGGTGGGATGGATTGGGGTGTGAGCCCGATGAGTGGGCTCCCTGAGGGGTTGGAGAATGGGCGTGAGCCTCTACTCCCCAGCCCTTCAGCACAATCTTGAACCCGGACCTTTGTGGCTTTGTCCTACATAGGAGGCTGTGGAGGTGGCCCCCAAATCACAAATCACTTTTTTTTTTTGCTTTTTGGGTCACACTTGGCTCTGCACTCAGGAATTACTCCTGGCGGTGCTCACGGGACCATATGGGATGCTGGGAATTGAACCGGGGTCGCCCATGTGCAAGGCAAACGCCCTACCCACTGTGTTATCGCTACAACCCCTCACAAATCACCTTTGTAGTCACAAGGACCCTGAGGGTTGTCCCCTGGCTGGCTGCCCTCTGGAGCCCACCATTGAATGCTTCCTCTCTGGGGTGAGGTTGCTTCAGCTCAACTGAGGCCCACCTGCATGGCGCAGTACGAGCTGGCACTGAACTAAAGCACATTTCTCCACTGGTGTGAAACACAGTAGGGTCAGCCTCCACCTGCCTGACATTTTTATTTTATTTTATTTCATTTTTTTATAATTTTATTTATTGAATCACTGTGAGAGCAGTTACAAAGCTTTTAGGTCTAAGTCTCGGTCATACAATGAAACACCCGTACCTTCACCAGTGCCCATTCTCCACCACCAAAAACCCCAGTATACCCCCATCCCACACCCTCCCCCTACCTGTGGGGCAAATTATTTCCACATTACTCTCTCTCTACTTTGATCACATTCAATGTTTTGACACCAGACCCACCATTATTATTTGGGATTTTACCCCAACACTCAGATCTGCTGAAAAGGCAACAGTAGACAATCTGTTTTCTATTGCTGGTTATGAATAACATAGCATGTCGCGTGGCTGCAGTAGTGGCCACACGATTTTGAAATTCCGAAATTTTAACACTTAAATCTGGAGGGATTTCTGCCAAAACCTGCTGGGTTCTGAGATTTGCTTCTGAGTCTCTGGGATCATGGCCGTTAAGCAGCTTGATCAGGAACCAGAAAAGCCGTTCATGGGCGGCGACTTAGGGTCTCGTTGGGACTGGGAGGAAAGGGCCGGCTCCACCCCCATCTTGTGAGGCCCCGCGTGTCTTGTCACTGAGGGCCCAAACCTGACTGTCCAGTGGCCTCTGGAGGATGGTGGTCACCGAGCTGCCTAGGGGGAGCAGGCAGAGGGACAACAACCTTTTACCCCCCGGGGTGGCCCGGCAACAGTAACCTACTGCAGGGTCCAGACACATTTCTGCCAAAAGCCGCTGGGTTCCGAGATTTGCTTCTGAGTTTCTGGGATCATGGCCGTTAAGCTGCTTGATCAGGAGCCAGAGAGGTGCCTGGCTGTTTTTAGGGCACGGGGGATGTTCACAAGTAGCGCAGGGGAGTGGTGAGGGGTTGGGGATGCTCGGCAGTAGGCAGGCCAAGCAGGCCAGCAGTAAGGATGCAGAGCTGCCCACGCCCATCCAGTGAAGGTGACTGTCAGGTCCCATGGCGGGGATCACACCGCAGTTCAGCGGTTTGCAAAGGAAGAGTGGGACGTGCATCGGAGGGGGAGGGCGCTGGAAGCAGGTGGGCACCTCGGCGGCTGGGCAGAGGCTGAGGCGAGGGAGTGTAGGGTGGGCCCGTGGAGGGGAAGAACAAGAGCAAACTTGGTCCGTTCTACCCATGCATCTCTCGGCAGACGGTAAGTGACTTCTAGGAGCTTGAGATCAAAAAAGGAATTAGAGCTAATTAGAATTAGTCTCATAACGTGGACTGCAGGCCTGGGCTGTGAGCTCAAGGGTGGCCATTTGCGCTGCGAACACAGATGCTGCCCACGGCAGCCCACTTACAACAGCCTTGGTGCAAAGATCACAATCACGGTCATCCTGTTCATTGATTGCCTCGAGCAGGCCCCAGTAAAGTCTCCTTCGTCCTAGCCCTGAGATTCTAAAAAGTGCCATATTCAAGGCTCTTTCAGGGTTAGGAGAATGAGACACATCATTGTTACTGGCATTTGGGATATTGGCTACGCCACAGGGAGTTTGCCTGACTCTGCAAAGAAGCTTTTTTAAAAACACTGCC